CATATAAAGTTAATGATTAGTTTTTCCATCTCTTTGAAGAATGTTGCTGGTATTTGGATCGGGATTGCATTGTATTTGTAAATTGCTTTGGGTAGATGATCCCTCATTCTTGAAGCAGCAGTTGGAGAAAACTGGTCAAGGCTGCTGGGAATGGGGCAGAGGGGAACTACCTGGAGCTGTGCTGTCTGCTACAGTAGCCACACACCACTACAGTGATGACTGAGCACTTGCAATGTGGCTGGTTCAAATAAAGATGGGCTGTAAGGGTCAAATACACTCTTGATTTCAAAGACTAAGTATGAAAAAAAGAATGCAAAATATCTCGATTATATGTTGAAATGATAATATAGTATTGTGGTTATACTGGGTTATTTAAAATGTCATTAAGATTCATTTCACCTGTTTTTAAGAAAATTTAAGATAGTAAATGTGGCTTGAATTATAATTCTATTGGACAGTGCCAGTCCAAATGGCTTTTCCAAATCCTGGAGCCAGGAAGAAAGGGAGGCTGGCCTGCCTCACAGTCTCTGGAGGGCTTTGCCTGAGAAGAGGTTGCTAAAACCACCTGATTCTTAGAACCTCTATACCCAGGGTGGAGGGCTGTTCCCAGGTCTGCTCCAGGTCCACCTGTTCTTCTGGAGAGTGGAAGTCAGTCTATGAGACCTGGTGGGGGTTGTAATTAGTTCTGCCCCTTCTCTTACTGCTACTCAGAGAGTGAAAACATCCCAGTTGTTGCTAGCATCAATAAGTCTCCAAGTGTTTCATGTGTATTTCCCCCTTTCATTCTCCCAGTAGTCCTTTGAGACTACTATCCTTTACCCCATGTGACTTGAGGTTACCAAGTGGGCAAGCAGCTTGTCCAAAGCTACTCCACATAATCGTGGCAGACCAGTCCCAAGTCTTCCTTGGCTTCCTCCAGGGACAGGAGGAGGAGGGCAGGCCCAAGGGCAGTTCCCCACCCCTTCCCATGGTGGTCCCAGCCAGCCTGGCAGCAGTGGGGACAAGCCTGTCCTCGTATAGCTCAGTGGAAAGCCCTGGGAGGCCAGAGGATAAAGGGGTTAGACACCAGCTGGAGGGACCACTGCTTGGGGACCTGGGGCTCAGCGTTAATCCCTTGCAACCCTAGCCTGGAAAACTCTTTGCCAGAGAAGGAAGAAGAGAGCTGGGGGGCGGGGAACAGAGGGGACAGACAACGGTAGTTGCATCTAGGAGAGGCGATTCTCTGTGAATCTAATGGCCTTTCCCAGTATCTTTACTCCCCAACCCACCCCAGCCCAAAAGGGAAGCTGGGAGTCAGTTTTCTCTAGGACTCTGACAATCCTAGATGACGCTGAAATCGAGACCTGGGTAGAAGTAAATTATCCACGACCCACTCTTACGGGAGAGGCTGGGGTGGAAAAGTTCATTTGACTTCTGGAGCCTGCTTTGGGTCCTTTCCTCTCTTCATGCAGGGCTCTGCTCAAATGTCCCCTCCTCAGGAAGGCCTCCCTGAGCAGGCCCCTCCCCCGCACTGGGCAGCTTTATTCTGGATTAATCAGGGAAAGTAACAGGAAACAGCAACTCCCACCCACTGTGGAAAGGTTTCAGCTTCTTTTCTAGGTCAGGATAGAGTCAACAATGGAATCCAGGGCACCAGAATGGTCATTTCGTGCTTCTTTTTCCCCTATTAACCGAGGTAGGGTCCACTACTTCAGATTTAGTCCGACACGTTTATGGAGGTGGTGGAAATAGGAATGACAGCTCCTTCCCACCCCAAGTCTGATCATGATCCAAATACATTCTTTTAGAACTTCTGGCTTCATAAGGATTTTCCTAGGAAATCTAAGAAGTGTGGAGAAGATGTGTATGAAGGCACGGAAATAACATACTTGGTAGGATAGTTTATCCTCTATGTCCTTTTGATGCATCAGCAAAACTGAAGCCCAGTGTGACCAGCAACATCCGAGAACTGGGATAGAGGAAGGAACTATATAAATAGATGTGTGTATGTGTATATATA